GGAATGCATTAGGTACTTCAAAAATGCAGCTTTAGGAGGAGAGGCTGATCTGGAAATAAACTCTGATTTGATTCCCATTCCCGCACCAACAGATACAGAGATGCAATAGATTTTTTCGTACACTCTCAGCTTTGAAAAAAATTACTCACCAAACTAGCAGTAAGTGAAGGTGCTGACTGCCCAAGTGCTTGGTAGCGCATGCGAACAAGATTAGAGGTTTCTGCAGATTGCCACAGCTGCTGTCCAGTTGCATTGGGAAGCAGGTACTTGCCTGTCAAGTTAAGAAAACGTGTGTTATAATATTAGATGTTGTACGTGAAGTGATGCAAGGGATACAGTTTACTATAAGATAACATTCTTACCATTCTAAAACACTTGTTTCTTTCACTATAGCCCTGACCAGAGTGGATTCCATCAGAACAGAATTCCTATTATTCACTTGCTAGCCCTTCACATCACCCTTCCACAAGCTACATTTCTCAGGCAAGTTTATTTTTTCAATATTCTCACAACTGTACCTTTTTCCTACCCTTGAAACAACTACTGCAACAACAGATGCAAACATCCAGAACAGTGGGTCTGAACCAAAGAAACCTAAATTCTGAAGATTAGCCATTAAAAAAATAAAATATATAAATAAAAAGACACTACCTAAGGAATAAGGTTCTGAGGTACAAAGTGAGGTTTATTGGAATAAAGCACTTACTACATAGATAACAACTACACTTCCCTGTGAGTGGTGACTATTCTGCTTCTACCCTAAAATTCCTTACAATCTACCTAAGAGGTATCACTGAATTCCCAAGACAATACCTTTACCCAGTATCCCAAGTAAGGGGAGATCACCAAGGGCAGCCATTCCTCAGGAGCACATGCATGGGGCTCCCAGGGAGCAGTTGATATACCCCTCCTCATTGGTTGCTGTGTTTATTGCATAGCCCTGTGGCCAGGCAAGCTCAGGCCCAATGAGACAGGAGGTCAGACCTCCAGTCAAAGCACCGCCCCTCCACCTGGATCACCTCCCCACAGCTTCTAATTAGGCAGAAACCTCTTCTGGCTCAGGGATCCCCTGAGCTGCAAACCAGCAGCAAGGAGAATGCTCAAGGAATTATATTAAAAGAACAAACATGTAATGCTACTGTTCCTTCTTTTTGCTTACTTTCAGGCACTGTCAAGAAACAGGACATGAGGCTATACACTGGTCTTAGCAAACATGTCCACTTTAAGTTCTTAGTTATCTCTGAAAACCATGCAAAAGTGAGACAATCTTACTACTAAAACAACTTCTCTTAGAACATCAACAAGCTGATCAAAGCAGTAATTCAAAAGATTACTTTTTTTTTAATCAAATCTAGGTTCAAAAACAGAATGCAAGATTTTGATTGAACAGCTCAAACAAAAACAGTCTTCCAAACCACACGTCCTAAACATTTGTTTCCCAAAATTAGTAATTCCCACCTCATTAATCTTGTCACCTCAGAGAACTATGGAGCAGGTACAGTGCATGACCATTGACAGAGGATTTGCATCCTGATAGATGGGCACAAGTTTGCCAGGAAATCAAAGCCTTCAGCTTCATTTTTAACAGCAGATCCACAGAGAGTTGCTGAGGTTTCTGGAAACTCTCTTGGGAGCTAAAGAGTTCCCAAGCAGCAACACACAATAATTGTTTTAATGCTTCCCACTTAGTTTTCAAAATGTGCTACTGCTCTTTGTTACACTGGTAAAGCAGAACCTATAGACATTTGTCACCCCATTTGCTAACAGCTTGCCCAAGACTAGAAGAAAAATACACAAGAAAGCTGTGGTTTCTTGCCCAATCATCCAGGATAACATTTTCCAGAACTAGAGAAACTGAATTTCCCATCTGCTCTCTCTGTTCATTGCCATCTAATTCTGGTTATCTTTGTACATAGGCTCCCACCGTCCTCAACTAAAAGCACGCCTTAAGATATTGACTGCAATGTCCACATCTTTGATGTTGCATTGATGTCAATCCTGGAATATGCTAGTGACACATGCAGTCAGTTACAACTTATATCTGTCACCTTGAAAGGTTACTTTCTTCTCATCCAGGCAGGAAAAAGAAAATTAAAAAGTAAGTGGAAAAAACTAAATTATACATACCTTGCATTTAAACAGCTATATTTTATTTCTTTAATGCTTTCAATATCAAAAGAGGTCTATGCATTTTCTTTGCTTGCTTTTTGACTCCTCTCCTGAGGGTCAATGGTAAAACAAGGTTCTTGGGGTGAAACCAGACATTTCCTAGTGCTGGGGCCCCAATTACAAAAATCTCTCAGGCTAGAATGCAGACTACAAACACCGTAAGGAAACTTTGCAAGAAGGCTCCTAAAATTCCAGCAAAGTCAAAACAGCTCCAAACAAGACATCATGTCACTGATAGTAACACCAGTAAAATACTTTGGTAATATCTGTTTTGTCAACTAGACATACATTACACAAATCTGTCTTAGAAACTCTGTATTAACCCACTCTAGAAACCAACAGGAAAAATACATTAAACAATTTGCAACTTGATCACTGTAGTATACTTTTAGTGCATTTTATCATCATAGGAATCAATACTTGAAAAGCATTAGAGGTTTCCTTTGATCTTTAGAACAAAGGAGAATGTAAGCAATAGGTCTGTTTTAATAAAGCTTGTTCTAAAACTGGGGAAGAGCATCACTCTTTGGTTAAGCAATGTACTTTCTAGTAGGGCTGTGAAACTGGTCTCAAAATCCATTGTCAGACACTAGGTCTTTCCCAGACTGCACTAATTTTCATTTCAGGTGAATCCCACTGAGCTTCCCAAGGAAAAAAAAAAGGCAGTAATTTGTATTTTGTCCACAAATTAATCTAATTTTGTTTAGGTTTGGATCCTAAACCAACAAGGTTTAAATACTAAGTCAATGAAGTCCAGGTAGAGAAAGGCATATGAGAAATAAGTGCTATAATTAATGTTTGGGGGGTGTTGGTTTGTTGTTTGGTTTTGTTTAGTTTTGTTTTTTTTTTTTAAAAAAAAAGCTTGCTTTTTGTTGTAAATGGGAGCCAGACCCAAAACATGGAGAGCTAATATTGTGATTCCTATTCATGTCAGTCACTCAGCAGAGCACTGCATACCTTACCATGTGCAGGGCTATGCTGACACAGAACATCTCTAACAGCCACCTTTATTCTTTGTCCTTTACAAGCATCTATACATTACTCAGTTTTTATCTTGCTCAAACATCTGAAAGAGGTCTAAGGTATTTTGGTACAGAGGCCAGAGGAAAGGCAATCCTATTCTTTATGACAACAAAATCTTGTACTAAGCCCTTCCTTCAACTGTAAGATTTTGCCTGACTGAAAAGAAAGCAAAGTATATTAACACAGCATCAGGGCCAGTGTCTACACTTCAAGAATTTACTTAATATTCCACTGTTTCTCTTGCATGATTAACCTCTAGAAATATTTAAAATAACATCGGAGGGCCTGTGGAGTAGCTAATTAGGCAGCTGACACAATCAAAATTGCCCATGAAAATGTAAGCGTACATGATGCCGGAATGATCTCTCCTCCCATCCTTACTCCAAGAGGAGCCTTGAGGGCACCACACATTTCGCAACTGGGGCTAGTGGAATACTGAGATTAAGGCAAGTGTAGCAGACTGTCTAGAACTCCAGATCTTCTTTTCACAGTACATCCATATATGCTTTTAAAACACAGAAATGGCATATAATAAATATGCTTTCTATAGGAGCAAATATAGTAACGGCCTATGCAAGAAGATGGTAGAGGATAAATCTCTTATCTGGAAATAACACTAACCTTTATGCAGAGAGATGCTACCAGGAGATTAGCAGTTACCAACAAGAATGCCAACTGCAACAAAATATCTGGAAAATAACAACTGTACTTTTAATACTGTACTTGTTAAAATAAGAAAACTTGGACATACTTTACAGGAATGCAATGAGGCTTTTTCATTTCCAAAAGCAAATGGAACATTAACATTTCTGACAGAAAAAAAATTTCTTCCAAAACTCAGCCTGCTTTCTTTCAGGGATTAGGGTGCCACTGCATTAAACCACCACACAATAAAACTGTCCCTGCCCACAAAGAGTTGGTCAGCAACTCTCCCTGGAGTCCTCAATTTAAAAAAAAAAAAAAAAATCCAACAAAATCAAAGGAGAATAATCCCCTCAAATCATATTCACTGCTTTTTCTTGCCGCTATAATACTCCTACATTTTTTCTTGCTACAATATAATTCATAATTGTATCCATTTTCTTTAATAACTCCTTGAATTTACACACATCCACACTTTTCCTCACTGTTAAGTGATTTAAATACCAGTTTTGCACATAAAACTTGACCTGAAATACATTATTGACTTTCACACTGCATTCATTTCTGCCTTCAAGTTTAATGCTCCAAGCAGTACTTTCCTTGAGTGAACTGATTCACAGGGGACAGAGAAGACAACTTCAACTGCACCTCATCCCTTCCATCTTAATTTGGCATTTTGGCCCATATACAGCACAAACACTGCCAGTGTCCAGGGTAATCTCCATCTAACAACAGACCATTGCCACGCTGGGAGTAATTTTCTTATTACTTTCATCAGCTATTGATACAGATGAGTCATCTGCTGATACAAGTCCCCTGCTGCTGTCCTATTCAAGCCCAAGATGGCCTTTTACTCCCCTGCCTTCTGTAGAGGCTTTGCTGGCATCTCTCCTACCCCTCCTGTGCTCAAAATTATTCAAGACAGCCTAAAGTCATGTCCTGATTTCAGCTGAGATAGAGTTTGATTTCTTCCTAGCAGCTGGTATAGTGCAGTATTTTGGATTTAGGATGAGAATAATGTTGGTAACACACTGATGTTTTAGTTGTTGCTAAGCAGTCCAAGCTTTTCAACTTCTTGTACTGCCCTGCTAATGAGAAGGCAGGGGTGCACAAGAAACTGGGAGGGGACACAGCCAGGACAGCTGACCCAAACTGGCCAAAGGGATATACCATATGATGTCATATTCCATATATAACTGGGAGGTTGGCTGGGAAGCAGTTCTGCTTGACAACTAGCTGAGTATTGGCTACAGGTGGTGAGCAATTGTGCTGTACATCATTTGGTTTGTATATTCTAATATTATTATCATTATTGTCTTCCTCTTCTGTCCTATTAAACTGTCTTTATCTCAATCTGCAAGTTCTTCTTTTTTTCTTTTTTTTTTTTTTTTTTTTTCTTTTTTTTCTTTTTTTTTTTTCTTTTTTATTATCTTCCCC